AGCCAACATGGCTTTACGGTTGAGATTATATCGCCACCTGTTGGTTTGGCATGCTCTTGACAGTGCTTCATATCATGCGTTTGCGTTTTCATGTGGATGGCCATTTTTTTTTTAAACGGAAGGAAAAACTCCTTTTATAAAAATACCCGTGTACGTGTAGACATGAACTTACTCTGTGAACCTAACCTGGTCGGGAGCAGGTTTTCTCCGTTAAACCAAGAGTTTCTTTCTGTCTCTTCCCCCTTTTTAAAGTGTAAACGATGTTTAAATACCTCATTCATTCATTTACGCGGAAAAAATGCTTTTCTTAGTGAGTATTTTGGAATCTAAATTAAGTGTATTTTACTTAAAACAAGAAAAATCATCTTAATGCAAATGGGAACAAAATTATTTTTCTTATCCCATTGGCAGATAATTTGCAAAATAAGAAATATACATTTAAAAGACTAAATACATTATGTATTTTTTCTTATGTAGAAAATGCATCTTGATTGAAGAATCTTTAGATATTTTGACTGGAAACAACAAGCCAAAAATACTAAGTAAGAAAAGCATTTTTTGCAGTGCTGGTACATTCATTCATTGCACATATTTTCATCATGCAGACACTGTGAAAGTGACAAAAACAGCATGTCCTTTTATACAGGTTCCTGTAGATGAGGAGGCTGCATTAATTCGTAGGGAGTTACATTTACATCGTAGGGAGTTACAATTACATAGGATTACTTAGATTTGTTTTCTTTTCTTTTTTTTGCCATATACATATCACATGCATATTTATTTGAGTGGTACTATTTTTAAATGGTAGTTTTCTATATAATATCAGGGATGCGGAGCACATTAGTAAAGCCGCTGTATGCAGAGCGGTAAGGAAAGTGTGCCTCGCTCTAACATGAGAATTTTTCCTGAGCACAAACCCATCGAAAATGAAGCTTATTACTGTATGGAATGGAAGGATGACAGATTGAAGGGTAGTTGGAGATATATACCGTAACCACCACCACAGCTGTTAAATGTATTTGGTCATCTTTATTTCCTACAAATACAAAAGCAACAGTTATTCTTTTTCCTGTTGGATTTTAATATGAATCCAATTCTTGTTATTGGCCATCCTCTTAATCTGTTCTTCATTATTTTGCGAGCCTTCTTGCTGTTGGCTGAGTAGAAGTCAGATGTTAATTTCATTACTCTGATTAAGAAATGCAACAGTTTGGATTAGAGAACATTTATGTGAAAAAAGCATTAGACTATGTGGGAAAAGCTGCTGCACATTGAAATAGACACTGAATGATATTTATTTAATATGTAAAATATTTGTAAAGTCATGTAGCCTACACCCATGAACCTTTTATGCTTAAAGCTTTACCTGATTTAATTATGTTTTTATACTTCATGTTTAGAGCTTCTTTTTATTAATTATTAATATTTTATTAATGTTAGTTCAATAATTTACCGTTCTTACAGTTTTTAACGTTGATATTATAACAGTGATTAAGAATTAAAGTTACGTATTGACTCAGAGGTATGCGGACGTTTTTTTTGTCTGGTGCTGTTGCCACGGTGAATCAGAATTTCAGAGCTCCATTGATCATGGCTTTTCATAGTTGTGGTGCACGCACTAAACTCAGACGGTGCGTTCCAAACGGGATATATCGCCCTCCGAAGGGCACTTCGGCGTTAAAAACAATCATGGCCACCATATTGAAGGGTCGTTCCAAACCGAAGTGCTCAAAACTGGCCACTTCAAAGGGCCCTTCGGAATGAAGGATTTCGAAGGGTACAACTGATGGACACTTCGAGCTCCCATGATCCTTTGCGCAGATTCTTTGCATGATGACGGCACCTCCGTGTGGGCACGTGATGATGACGCAGAAGGGCACTTCAAGAAACAGTTGTTTGGTCCCCTACACCCTTCAACCCTTCGAAGCTCTTACTCCGGAGGGTAAACCCTTTGAAGGGATTAGGGCATAGGGATGAGCCCTTCCGAATGGAACGCAGGGAGAGTCAACCTACTCAGAGTTGATTGAACTAACTCAATTCAGCTGTTCTAAACCCGAAAACTCAGAGTTTCCCATCTCAGGGTAAGTCAACTCAGAGTTCAAGTTTCAACTCAGAGTTGGTTGATCCTCCTAATTGAAACGGGCCCCTGTTGTACATCTCAGAGCAACAGAATCTGTTTTTGAACAAATCAAGTGAGCCAAGTATTCAATGATCCATTCATAAAGACTTACTTCGATTTTAAATGAATCAGTCATTTTGAAAGAATCGTTTGATTGAAGGATTCAATGAATCATTAATTAAAACAGACACTTGAACTGGCGGTTTTAGTGCCATATTTATTTATCCATGACTAAGCCTAAACCAGAACAAAAACACACTCAGCAAAATATTAATTATCATTATCGACAAAAATCCCCCCAAATATATGATACAATTTTTGTCAATATTGCACACCCCTAAACTAGGGGCTACATTTCGGAAATTTGGCACACAGAAATGATGTGTATGCATGTGTGTGTATTTGTTTCATCTACATTGTGAGGACCAAATGTCCCCACAAAAAAATAAAAACAATCTGTTGACATTTGTGGGCCCCATGAGGAAAACAACTCAAGCAATAATTCATTTAATAAAGCTTATTTTTTTGGTCAATAAAAATGTGTTTAAAAATTAGACATATGTTGTAATCATTTGTAATCACAGGACCCCCAGCCCCAGTATCCCCCTTGACATTTTTTATACAATTCGACCATTGCTCAACTCACTATTTTATATTGTCCCTATGAGATGAACAGTGTTGGGCAGTAACGCATTACTTAGTAACGCGTTACTGTAATTTGATTACTTTTTTAGTAACGGGGTAATTTAACGCGTTATAATTTTCAAAATAGTAATTAGAGTAGGCCAAGCCGAGGTCTCTATACGTTACTGCCGCGTTACATTGCTGACAGAATGCAGTGTTTTATAATCTAGAGATTGTAAAAAGGATGTAGCAAACGCACTGTCGAGTCAAGTGCCAGTGGATTAGAGACCTGCTCTCCCGCGAGACCCGATGCAACAGAGCGCAGCGCGGGACAAGATGGGCGAGTGCTGGTGCGGGTGGGTAGACACTCGTGTGTGCGGATGCGGGAGAATAAAATGACTCATGGGACTCCGCAAAATAGAAATATCTAAACATAAAATATCTAAAACAAATAAATTGTTATTCATCTATTGCACAACAGCAACATGAACTAATATAAAATATAACCGATTAACAGGTGCAAGTGTATGCAGAGTTTCTATTTAGGCTATAACACCTGTTTGCAGCGTTGAGCAATGCAGTGCTGAAATTTGCGTGCGCATGAATCCTCTCATTATAACACACGAATTGTAGACATTATGAAAGATTCATTATGCATATATTTATTGTGTTATAACAGAGATTTGTGAGTGTGACGAGAGGGGGCGTGGCCGAGAGCCGTGGGAACGGAGCGAGGCCGGTGGAGTAAATGCTAATGCACGACACCTGCGCAACTCACCGGTCTCGAGTCCCACGGTGGAGCTCCGGAAGGATAAAAGGAGGAGTGACGACAGTGTTGGAGGAGAGAGGACCAGGCCTGGACTTTATTTTGTGTTTTGTGTGCGGCAGTCGTCCGCGAGGGGCTGCCGCTTTACTTTCATTTTGTGTTTGTTAATTTTATTAAAGTTTTCTTTAAATGCTTGCCGGTTCCCGCCTCCTTCTTCCCGACCTACGAACGTTGTTACAGTGAGATTCCGATGAACTGAGATGTCTTTTAGAGATTATAAATGCAGCGCTCTTTGCTGGCATTCTGCCATGCCAAACCATGCACGCAGCAGCCGTTTGCTTTAGTTAAAAATAACAGTGTTCTGTGAATGTTGATGCTTTAATAACAAATATTTATCGGGAGCGTGTATGCTGGAATTTTATAAATTTCATGGAGAAAAAAGTAACGTAACTAGTAATGTAACTTTTAAAATAAATTAATCAGAACAGTAACGTGATTACTTTTAAAAGGAGTAATCAGTAATCAGTAATTTTATTACATTTTCAGAGTAACTTGCCCAACACTGGAGATGAATGATTCATTTTTGATCAAGTATTAAAACTGGTTAAATGTTCCAATCAATAATTTTATTATATTTTCAGAGTAACTTGCCCAACACTGGAGATGAATGATTCATTTTTGATCAAGTATTAAAACTGGTTAAATGTTCCAGTGACTATTTTAAAGAATATTTTGGATAAGGCGGAAATATGACCATATTAGATTCAGAAGAGTTTACTGATCACATACTGATGAGGATCTAACATACATCTACATCTAACATTCATTCGGACATGACATTATTAATGTGCACACTGAACTGAAGTAGAGGACTGCTCACCTCTTACTGTAATTTTCTCTCTTCTGTCTTTACTGATGACCTGACAATGGTAATTTCCAATATCTGGTAGCCTGAAGTTTTTCAGTCGTAAGGACACATTTCCTTCCTTAAGCTTGTGAGTGAATAGACTCGCTCTGTCCTTGAACAAAACCCCTTCTGTCACCTGCCTGTCCTTATACAGGCAAACACAGGCTGTATCGTTAGACCAACTGATCTCCATGTCAACAGCGCTGATTTCAGTAGACAAGTAACATGTAATAATCAAATCAGACCCCAAGGAAGCCTCTGGTTCTTGTGATGTACTGGGGACAACAAGCTGAAAGTTCTCTGTGAGGAAAAGAAAAATGGACTCACACTTACTTACACACCCAAAATAGCAATTTGCTTTTTAAAGTAGACACATTATTATTACCTACATATTTTCTATCTATAAAGAAATTATTTGGTATAGCAATCTTTAAACATCATATCACAAAATTCTTTTTAATAAATAATGCACATTCATATGATAACAAAGTTGATAATTTTAAGGCAACTTACCTTTGCCTTTGGTTCCCATTTTGTTGTCCTAATTTAGATTAAAACAAATGCAGTTTCATTTATTTTATGATATGTGTGTGTGTGTGTGTGTGTGTGTGTGTGTGTGTGTGTGTGTGTGTGTGTGTGTGTGCCCCCTAAATAATAGGTTATACACTTTAGTGCAAACATACCCCAGACTGCTTGTTGTCTGGACGGCTTAGATGTGATTTGATGTACTGTAATGATAATTCTATAACGTAGAGAAAAATAAACAATAAAAAAAATAAACCCTCTTAACAGGCAAGATCCAAAAATTACATTTTCATAATTTCAGTGTTACATTAGTGATTTTTAATATAGGCCTTCTTCTATTAATACAAATTATGATTTTACATATTAACTTTTTAAATGTGCAATGCAAATACTAATTATTACGGTCAATGATCTGAACTTACTGTTATCTGTTTCTTCCTTGTAATCCTAAATTAGATAAAAACAAGATTTTGTTTTCTTAAGCAAGTTTGTCTAAATATAACATTGTCACACACTTGTTTACTTAGAGCAAATAGTAATAGATACTACAACATGCAGCAAAAAGTTCAATAAAGAGAAGTTATATGCTATTTGTACTAGTGGCCAGTTGATAATACCTAGAATATCAAAATTGACTGCAGATGGTAGATCCTTTTCCTATTTTAGCACAAACTCTGGAACAGTCTTCCTTGATTGATCGGGAGGCAGAAACACTCTATCAGTTTAAATCTAGATTAAAGACCCATCTCTTTAACCTATATACACAACACACTAGCACATACCTATCATTTAAATACCTTTTAAATTTAGGCTGTATTAATCTGGAAACCCAGAACAAGGAGGGCTTTAACCATGCCTACGTGCCTATAGCCATTGATAAGCTAATCGTCTATTACTATCTAAACGGCAGGCGGCAGCTCTACATCTATGTTACAACCTGCTGCACAGACTACAACTCTTCTTTCCCTCCTAATGCCGGTTTGACGTACCCCAATCTTCAAGCAGAAAGAGATAGATGCAAAATCTTATTGAATAACATCAATTCACAAATCTGACTTGTAATGAAGCCTGATAAATCACACTGTATTTGTTCAGTTTGGCTAGAGGAGAACTGGTCCCCTGACTGAGCCCAAGGGTTTGTGTTCCCTGGGTTCTAAAAGGCACTTAATATTCAGTACTTTGATCAGTTTGTTGGCACTGACACTATCGTATGAGAATAACAAAGCTTGAACTGAACTGAGCTGAATAATGAGACTACTGCCTTCTGTGACTGCTGAATAATAACACTACTGACACACTTCTGTGTGAGCTGCTTTATAGCTGAATCAAATGTTTATAATAGAAAATTTTGCACACTGTTATTGAACTGAATTGAATCAACATTGAAATGAATCGAGCTGAATAATAGACTGTCTACATTTGAACCTGAACCATTGCTGAACTGAATTTTTGTTCTAATTGAACTTTGCACAGTTATTGATCTAGCCTTATAATCAACACTGTGCTGACTGAAGCTGAATAATTACACTGTCTTTGGAGCTGTTTTACAGCAAAATTTAAATTGGTCTCATATTTGATGAAGCTGGCATCACTGATTCGCTGTTTATTACTGTGAGGCAGGTTTGAAACAATTTCTGTTGTAGACAGTGCTACATAAATTAAGGTGACTTGATGATGTTCACACATACCTTACGCTGATCCTTCCCTGAAGCACTGTGATATGCAGAGTGGATTGATAATTCTTTAATGCAGAAAAATAAGCTTTACAGATAAGATCCACACATCACATAGATTTTGACAGGTGTTTTTCAAAATGCCAAATAATAATTTCATCAAGGGCAATCGCTCGGAGTAAAAGCTGTGCACTCGCTCGGATTAAAAGATGAGAGAGATATCACCTAGACTCTGGACGGCGTTGAGAGCACCTTGGATATGTAACCCTTTCTCGGTTTAAGCACAACTTACAGTCATTAGGTCTGAAAACCGTACATGACTCGCTGACAGAGAGAGCGTGCATTTCATCCACTCACTTAACAGAAGCAAGCATAAGCAATAGCGCTGTCTTAAGGGAAAGCACTTTTTTTCATAGGCTACAGTCTAGTATTTTCTGTATTCTGTCTTCCAGCTTGTCGCACTGCACAGTGGAACATCCATAGCACAAAGACAACCAGTGATAGTGCCCGCAATAGGCAGTGAAACCGAGAGAAGAGTAAAATAGCGGGTAGACTTTATTGTCGATCCGACTATAACGCTCTGTGGCACGTTCCTCGTTCCAGTAACGGATGGTGTTTCGGCCATGAGTTCTCTGGTTTCTCAGCAGCTCGCTCGGTGCTCTATGCAAGAGTCTGAAGCTGGGCTGGATTTACATGCAGTTGCACATAGCTATGCTATGCTAGCTAACGCCAGTCAATATAGCGGTCGATGTAAGCAACATTATGCATCTGTATGAAGAGAGTGGCACAGCTGGTGCTCATCACAGAAAGTGTGGTTTATATGGTGATATGTCAACCTTGTGAAGTCTAAAGCTGCCTACCTGGCTGCTTTGTACATGACAGCTCGCCGCTGGGTCGGGGGAGCTGTTTATATGATTAAGTAAGCGACTGGAGTAATCTGCGATCTAGCAGGCAAAATGCCGCACTGAGGCAGGGCACTGATATATGTTGTGTGAGTGGCTGAAGCACCTTGGCTGGGATATTTTGTGCTTTGTACAACACAGAACGCCGCTGAAGTGGGGGGCTGTTTGTATCGTAAGCACGTTCAGAGCGTAGGGGGTCAGCGGGACCCGTGTCAGCATATGAGCCCTTTGCTGCAAACCTCATGTTCGGCTTATAGCTCCACTACCATGAGGGGAGCGTGAGAGCCAAGTTTGTTTCTTTATTTAGGTATGCGCTGCCTATGACAAGCGCTATCCAAAGGCGGGAAGTCCTCACAGTCATGGATGGATCGGCAGAGTGGGAAGCACGTGGGCTCTGAGCCAGCGTAAACTCGCCACTTAATACTTTGTGCTCCAAATCAGGATTTTGGTGCTTCTTCCTCAGCTGTTTGAAGAGAGCGGCTGAGAGGGGTGGCTGCGCAAAGGCTAACCGATCCCAGAGAATTCTGATGCTCACTTTTATTAGCATCGAAATGTGGGCAGTTAGGGCCCTCAGTGGCGGCTTCTGCGTGGGTAGAAGGCAGAAGACGCAAAGTTTGAGTCCATCGGGGATCCCGATGGGTCCCACGCAGATCAGGTAAACTTAAATGATATCTTCAATCCATTCTCCACCGGAATTCCTAAAGGGATTAGCAAAGTGTATTCCACAATATTCTTTGGCGATGAATCAACGGCGAAGATCTAAGCATTATAGTGAAGGAGAAAGATTCAGATGAAATGCCGCTAAGCGCTGCTTATATAGGGTGATTTCCCACCCCCCTTTTCGCATGCTCGAGCGCCATTGGCCATTGCGATGCAGTGGCGTTAAGTGAATAAGGCTTCAGTATTTGAGGATTCCCCAATGTGATCAGCTTACACTGTACACAACGTCGAGAGACCCTCTCGAAAGGGAACTTCATTGATGAACAGTTTTTCGTCATAGATTTCGTTAACAAAATTAACACTACTCAACAGTAACTTAATTCTAAATCAACTTACGATATATTGCCTCTCCAATCTTGTAATCCTAATTGAGATGGAAACCATTTGAAAGGATATTATGACATAACATTGTCACACAGCTGGGGTTCAGTTTATAGTGATTCTAAAGTGGTCAAAGATAACTAAATTATTAGTTATTCTTGTGAAAGACCATTTTAAGGAAAAAGCTGGTAATATTCTGCAATACTGTAAAATTGTGTTTTGTCATATTTGTTTGGCAAAGTAATCTAAAATTGAAGATAATAGAACAATATGCCTCAAGTTGATGCAAACTGATTGAAATTACTAGTGTTAACCTAGTGATGATGACCTTTATTTATACTGTAAAATACACACTCTAAAAAATGCTGTGTTGTTTCAACCCAACTTTGGGTCAAATATGGACTAACCCAACTGTTAGGTAAAATTTTTTCATTACATTTTTAACCCAAAAGTTTGGTTAGTCCATATTTGACCCAAAGTTGGGTTGAAACAACCCAGCATTTTTTAGAGGGTAGGCAACGTCCTTGGCACCAGCAGGGATGTTCTGAGAACGTTTTGGGAACGTCAGATTTCCAAGTAAAATATGGTCCCCTAAACGTCCCGAGAACGTCCTGAATGTTCTGTGAAGGTCCTC